AATAATGTATCAATTTTAATTTCTTTGGTCTCCCCTTCTTCTTGATTTGAGAGGGTAAATAGGGGCACCCAACTGCATTCTCTATGCCATTGATTCCTTTGTGTCACCTTTTATTTCTCCCTTCTCCAAACGAAGGATTTTTAGTACAGCCTCATATGCAAGCTGTCCCATGCTTCTAATCACTTCTTTTCCCTTCTCTACCCCTTTTCTATTTTGCTATGTCCTTTTCAAGATGGGGTGTCCAAAACTGATATAAAAAAATCAGTGTCTTCCTCAAGCCACAGATGGCTCATCAGGCTGATACAGTTTTATAGACATGTCAGTTTCCATAGCCAACAGTACACAAGGGACTGCTGTGGCCTTTTACTTCCCTAATCCTATAGATCAGGTACCCATTTTGCACCTGGGTGAACTGGAGGCAGCCCTTCAGAATGAGATCAAGCGAAACTCGGGCCCACAACCTTTGGCTTTGTAATTGAGCACTTTAGTCACTCGGCCATCACCCCTTGTCAAGGTGTGGGTATGCCATCGGTTTTCTATTATATTATAATAGTTAAGAATAAAATTGTCAGACACATAGAAAAACATAAACTGTTGAGCAATAGTCAACATGGTTTCTGTAAAGGGAAATCGTGTCTTACTAATCTATTAGAGTTCTTTGAAGGGGTCAACAAACATGTGGATAAGGGGGATCCAGTGGACATAGTGTACTTAGATTTCCAGAAAGCCTTTGACAAGGTCCCTCACCAAACGCCCTTACGTAAATTAAGTTGTCATGGGATAAGAGGGAAGGTCCTTTCATGGATTGAGAACTGGTTAAAAGACCGGGAACAAAGGGTAGGAATTAATGGTAAATTCTCAGAATGGAGAGGAGTAACTAGTGGTGTTCCCCAAGGGTCAGTGCTCGGACTAATCCTATTCAACTTATTTATAAATGATCTGGAGAAAGGGGTAAGCAGTGAGGTGGCAAAGTTTGCAGATGATACTGAACTGCTCAAGATAGTTAAGACCAAAGCAGACTGTGAAGAACTTCAAAAAGATATCACAAAACTAAGTGATTGGGCAAATGAAATTTAATGTGGATAAATGTAAAGTAATGCACATTGGAAAAAATAACCCCAACTATACATACAATATGATGGGGGCTAATTTAGCTACAGCAAGTCAGGAAAAAGATCTTGGAGCCATCGTGGATAGTTCTCTGCAGATGTCAGCGCGGTGTGCAGAGGCGGTCAAAAAAGCAAACAGGATGTTAGGGATCATAAAAAAGGGGATAGAGAATAAGACTGAGAATATATTATTGCCCTTATATAAATTGATGGTACCCCCACATCTCGAATACTGCGTACAGATGTGGTCTCATCTAAAAAAAGATATACTGACACTAGAAAAGGTTCAGAAAAGAGCAACTAAAATGATTAGGGGTTTGGAACGGGTCCCATATGAGCAGAGATTAAAGAGGCTAGGACTCTTCAGCTTGGAAAAGAGGAGACTAAGGGGGGATATGATAGAGGTATATAAAATCATGAGTGATGTGGAGAAAGTGGATAAGGAAAAGTTATTTACTTATCCCAATATACAAGAACTAGGGGTCACCAAATGAAATTAATAGGCAGCAGATTTAAAACAAATACAAGGAAGTTGTTCTTCACGCAGCGCACAGTCAACTTGTGGAACTCCTTACCTGAGGAGGTTGTGAAGGCTAGGACTATAACAGCATTTAAAAGAGAACTGGATAAATTCATGGTGGTTAAGTCCATTAATGGCTATTAGCCAGGATGGGTAAGGAATGGTGTCCCTAGCCTCTGCTTGTCAGAGGATGGAGATGGATGGCAGGAGAGAGATCACTTGATCATTGCCTGTTGGTCCACTCCCTCTGGGGCACCTGGCATTGGCCACTGTCGGTAGACAGGATACTGGGCTAGATGGACCTTTGGTCTGACCCGGTACGGCCGTTCTTATGTTATAATGGCAGTATGGTATTTTCACTATTATTCTCTTTCCTATTCTGAATACACCCTAACTCTTGTTGGTGTTTTTGCATGCCCTGATAGATGTTTTCATTGAGCTGTTTGTGATGATGCCTAGGTCTTTCTCCTAAGTGAGAAGAATTAATTTAGGACAGATCAGTGAGTTTCTAGTCCATGACAGAAGTTTACCTCTCCTCTTTTGTGACTTAATAGTCTCTTGTGAAGGATTTCAAAGGCTTTTTGAAAGTCCAAATAAATGATATTTTTCACTTCTCCTTTGTCCATTATGTTACTGACTCTCTCAAAGCATTCTATCAAGTCAGAGAGGCAAGCTTTTCGCTTTGCATAAACTGTGCTGATTTGTCCTGTTCATAGCATGTTAATCAGAGTTTTATATAACACTAGCTTTAATTATTTTTCAGCTAATTTATGCTTTTTTGTGGCTTACTGATATTTCCATGAGCCTTCCCTAGAGCCTTTTTAAAAAATGGATACAGTGATTATACCCGGAGTAGTGGCTAGATTTAATGACTGAGTACACAGTCTCTTAGTAGCTCAGCCACTTCATTATTAATTTCCTTCAGGACTCTTGCGTCAATATCATCTATTAAAGGAGGTTTATTAAAACTTAAATGATGATTTTGTTCCAGCATATTCTAGTTGACATTTCAGCGTCCGACATCACTTCATCCTCATTACCTGTGCAGAGTTCTGAAGTAGGTAGAAGATAGGAAGAGGAAGTGAAGTGGCTGTGTACATACGAGCACACACCCACACACGTTTACTGTTAAAAAGTTTCCAGCAACTTTCTTGGATGGAATTAGAAATCTAGGCCACTTGCTGGACTCTCTCTTGCTTTATTTCAATTGTTATAGGTGTTCAAATGCTACTGTGGTAGGTGCCGCATACGAACCTAGATAGAGATCTCCCCATCAAACTTAATGGGGATTCTTCATCTCCCCGGCACTCCCCTGGGATTTCTGCTAATGGCTGCAGCAGAGCTACCAGGAGAAACTGACCGTGGTGCTCCAAGTCCCTGAGTCATGGTCACCTTACCCCATTTCTTTCCAGTAAGAGGGAGTCTTTGAGTGCCGGGTGGAAAGTTGAGGGAAATGTTTCCTGCATGTATCCCTTAGCACTGAGGAGAATGGCTTCAGGGAGGGATAACCTTCACCCTCACTCTTTGACACTGGAAGCTGGAGAAGAACTAGTTCTCTCTGACTCTATATTCTTGAGTCCAAGACATCAAGCCTTCGCGCTTTCTCTCTCCCACCAGCAGATTTTTGTTTTGATGGAGTCCCTTAAGAAGCAGCAGAGAGCAGATGCTATGGCATCTCTTGCGTGGGATTCAGTTTACATCACCCTACATGGTGAAGTCAGGCAGTGGCAGGATGTTCAGCACTACTGACTGACCTAGCAGGGTGGATGTGATTGGATGAAAGGATACTGCATCTTAGAATAGTGTGTTCTTCTCACATTGTGTGGTAACTATATGGGATGGTTTTAAGAAACTTAACACAAGTACCTACTTTAAAGGACTTTAATGTTTCTTAAGACCTATTTTGGATGGTTATAATCCCTTGGCGCTTGGTGCCTTTTATGTTATCTAGATGTATTTGGTGAGATCGCTTTGTGATGTTCACTTAAATGAACTGTTGTGTTTGCATCTTGCAGGTTATCCGTACTTTAGATCCTAAACAAAACCAGGGCACAGCTCCTGAGATTCAGGCTCTGAAAAATCAACTGCAGGAACGGGACCGAATGTTTCATTCATTAGAGGTAACCATCTGCACATTTTCTCTTGGTTGTTCTAGGTTTTCCAAATTTTTACCATGTTTGCTAGATATGCTCTAGGAATTGTTTTGGGAAAGTGCTTGGGCCTATGTTACACAGGAGGTCAGACTAGATTATCACAATGGTCCCTTTTGGCCTTGGAATCTATGAATCCAGACGTTTGGGGTTCAAACAGTGTTTGTCTAATACATATTATCCATTCTTGTCATACAGCTTTAAATTTGTTTTTGTTCCCCCCCCCCCCCCCCCCCCC